AAACGGGGGGAATTGGGGAAATGGGGAAAATGGCACAAAATGGGGGGGAAATGGGGAAAATGGGGAAAATTGGGGGGAAATGGCACAAAATGGGGGGGGCTGGGATTAAAATGGGCAGAAATGGAGGGGAATGGGGATTAAAGTGGCCCAAAAGGGGCAGAAATGGGGTGAAAATGGGGGTGAAATGAACAGAAATGGGGTAAAATATAATTAAAGGGGCCCAAAAGGGACAGAAATTGGGTAAAATGGGGGTGAAATGACCCAAAAGGGACAAATATGGGGTAAAATTTGGGGTAAAATGAGGAGAAATGGGGGTAAAATATAATGAAAGTGACACAAAATGGACAGAAATGGGGTAAAATTTCATTAAAGTGGCACAAAAGGGACAGAAATTGGGTAAAATTTCATTAAACTGGCACAAAAGGGACAGAAATTGGGTAAAATTTGACTGAAATTGAGTGAAATGGGGTAAAATTCAATTAAAGTTACCTAAAATATCCAGAAATGGGGCAAAACAGGGTGAATTTGGATAAATTTGGGGTAAATTTGAGATCAGTTTAAGATAAACTTGGGATAAATTTAAGGTAAATTTGGGATAAATTTCGGGTAAATTGGGGTAAATTTGGGATAAATTTAAGATAAATTTGGGATAAAGCTGGGATAGGTTTGGGATAAATTTGGAAGAAATTTGAGATAAATTTAAGATAAATTTGGGATAAATCTGAAATAATTTTGGGATAAGTTTAAGATAAATTTGGGATAAATTTAAGATAAATTTGCGATAAATCTAAGATAAGTTTGAGATAAATTTGGGGTAAATTTGGGATAAATTTGCGATAAATCTAAGATGAATTTGAGATAAATTTGGAGTAAATTTGGGGTAAATTTGGGAGAAATTTAAGATAAATTTGCGATAAATCTAAGATAAGTTTGAGATAAATTTGGGGTAAATTTGGGATAAATTTGCGATAAATCTAAGATGAATTTGAGATAAATTTGGAGTAAATTTGGGGTAAATTTGGGAGAAATTTAAGATAAATTTGCGATAAATGTAAGATAAATTTGAAATAAATTTGAGATAAATTTGGGGTAAATTTGGGATAAATTTGCGATAAATCTAAGATGAATTTGAGATAAATTTGGAGTAAATTTGGGGTAAATTTGGGAGAAATTTAAGATAAATTTGCGATAAATCTAAGATGAATTTGAGATAAATTTGGAGTAAATTTGGGGTAAATTTGGGAGAAATTTAAGATAAAGATAAGTTTGGGATAAATCTGGGATAGGTTTGGGCTGGTTTTGGGACTCATTTGCATAAATTTGCATGGATTTGCATCGGCCCTGGCGCAGGTGCAGCAGCTCCCCCCGGTGCAGCACGTGTTCCCCTCCCCCTACGTGGAGGGGGGGGATGGGGCGTACCCCCCCCCCGGCGGGATGTGAGTCACCCCTCCCCCACCCCAGTGACCCGGAAAATTTGGGGGTGAAAATGGAGATTTGGGGGAGAAATGAGATACTGGGTGGGAAACGAGAGGTTTGGGGGGGCAAAATGAGAAATTTGGGTGCGAAAATGGAGATTTTGGGAGGGGGAAATTGAGATTTTTGGGTGGGAAAATAGAGATTTGGGTGTGAAGATGGAGATTCGGGGTGGGAAAATTAGAAATTTCAGGTGGGAAAATGGAGATTTGGGGGTGAAATGAGGAATTTGGGGATGGAAAACTGCAGATTTGGGTGTGAAAATGGAGATTTGGGGGGAAAATGAGGAATTTGGGGATGGAAAAATGGAGATTTGGGTGTGAAAATGGAGATTTGGGGGGGAAATGAGAGATTTGGGGGAAGATCTGGGGGGAAATGAAAAAATTGGGGGAGGAAATGGAGATTTGGGCTGGGAAAACAGAGGTTTGGGGTGGTGGATGAGAGATTTGGGGGGAAAATGAGGAATTTGGGGATGGAAAAATGGAGATTTGGGTGTGAAAATGGAGATTTGGGGGGGAAATGAGAGATTTGGGGGAAGATCTGGGGGGAAATGAAAAAATTGGGGGGGGGAATGGAGATTTGGGCTGGGAAAATAGAAAATTGAGGTGCGAAAATGGAGGTTTAGGGGGTGAAATGAGGAATTTGGGGATGGAAAAATGCAGATTTGGGTGTGAAAACGGAGATTTGGGGTGGCAAATATTCAGATTTTTACAAGCAAACCTCAACTTTTCTTTGATCTGCTCAAAGTTTTGGCTCCCAGGCTGGAACGGCCGCAGCGGGGGGGGGTCGGGGCGGGGCTCGGGGCCTCCTTCGGCAAGCTCATCCGCTCCGTCTTCATGGGGCTGCGCACGCGGTGCCTGGGCACCAGGTCAGGCCCAAAAACCCCAAAAAAATCCCCAAAAAAATCAGCAAAAATGGATGTAAAAGTCTGGTGTCACAGCGCCCCCTGCAGGGCGCACGGCACAATTGCAGCGCGCTCCTGAATCAGGGGAGAGGCCAAAAACCTCAAAATATCTCCAAAAAAATCTCAAAAAAACCCTCCAAAAAACCCTAAAAAATCTTTTCGGAAAAAACCCTAAAAAGGAAAAAAAAAAACCTTTAAAAAATTCCCCAAAAATTGACATAAAATTCCACAGTGTGCGCCACCATCACAGCGCCCCCTGCAGGGCGCATGATGCAATTGCATTGTGCTCATGAATCAGGGGAGACCCCAAAAACTTAAGAATTTACCCCAAAAAAAACCCAGAATCACCAAAAAAACCCCCCCAAAAATCCCAAAAAAATCACAAATATCCCTAAAATCCCCCTGAAATCCCACAGTGAGCGCCGCCCTCACAGCGCCGCCTGCAGGACGTGTGCTGCAATTGCACCCCCGCCCGGGAGGGGATCCAGCCCCCCCAAATCCCCCCAGAAAATCCCCAAACCCCCCCAACAGTGTGCGCCACCATCACAGCGCCCCCTGCAGGGCGCATGATGCAATTGCATCGCGCTCATGAATCAGGGGAGACCCCAAAAACTTAAGAATTGACCCCAAAAAACCCCAGAATCACCAAAAAAACCCCCCCAAAAATCCAAAAAAAATCACAAATATCCCTAAATTCCCCCTGAAATCCCACAGTGAGCGCCGCCCTCACAGCGCCGCCTGCAGGACGTGTGCTGCAATTGCACCCCCGCCCGGGAGGGGATCCAGCCCCCCCAAATCCCCCCAGAAAATCTCCAAACCCCCCCAAAAATCCCCAAACCCCCCCGTTTCGCAGGGGTAACTCCAAGTACCACTACTACGGGCTGCGCATCAAGGCGGGCTCGCCGCTGCTGCGCCTGGTGGAGGACCAGCAGCACCTGGCCATGCGGCAGCAGCCCTTCGCCCAGAAACAGCGGTGAGCGGCCCCCCAGAGACCCCCAGAGACCCCCCCTGAACCCCCAAAACCCCCCGGAAAGTCCTGGGGCCGGCACGACCCCAAGAACCCCCCAGGAATCCCCCCAAAGCCCCCCAAAAACCAC